AGCACTGGGCCCCTTTGAATCGCCGCAAGAGCACTCTCCACCCGCTGCTCAGGATGGTTCTGAGTGTCAGTTCTCTGCCCCTTCTGCCTGAGGCCCCACCCCTTCCAAGGGTTTGAAGCCAGCCCCCTCCCAAACCTGCTGTGACTGTTGGTCCCACTGAGCTCTCGTCTGGAGAAGCCTACAGCTCAGAAGTTGCCTTACTCTGGATTGTATTCACTGGTTTATATGGATTTTAGACCTATGCAACATTGTGATAAAACAAAGGCAGATCTTAAATATCAGAAATTCGTGCCTATGAGCTAAAACAACCCTAGCTGCAGGCTATGCTTTTCCTAGGGATTCCTTTATCAAAAAGCCAGTAAGCGGTCAACCATTGGTCTGGCTAGGCTGAGTACCAGGTACCTCTTGGCCTGCAAAAGGCATTGATGCTTGCTTTTGTCTTTCCTTTTACAAAGTCTTCCCAAATATACCATGCAAGTCAACAAGAGTGTCACTGCTTAGTTCATGAACTCATCCCTATGGCTGGCTGGCTCTTGAGCGAATTCTGCAGGCACAAGAGGGTTTGTCTTTGCTTCAAGCCCTACGTTTCTAGGATTCTGACATTTCCAAATGATAAAAATGTTTTTTTTCAACCAAAATAGCTTGCCAAAATTGACACTAATTTGTGAAACACTTCAGCCAATCCGCATCCATAATTTGTGTGTTTATAAAAAAAAAAAAAAAAAGTTTTACCTGAATAAAAGCTACACCTAGCTCAGAACCCCAACTGCTCCTCTGCATCCAAGCTCAGTGCTCTGGCTTTCTCAGGAGCAGGTACGCTTGCAGTTGGCTACTTGCTCCTGCCTCTGAGAAGATTCAGACTCTTCTGAGTAGAACTGGGTAAAGTTTTTCTCAACACTTCTGTGCGAGCGCACACACTGATTCAGGTCAACTGAAACATTTAATACAATTAGTATCTATTTCAGCAAGTTTTGGTCCAAATAAGCATACGTTTTGGAAAAGTCAGACTCTTTTGACTCAGACACGTGGGGCTGGAAGTGGCATAGTTTTCACAGAAAAGAGACCCACCGGAGATTAGCAAGTAGTGGCAATTAAGCCACTCACAGAGACCCACCGGAGATTAGCAAGTAGTCTGACAATTAAGCCACTCATCTTGAAAACAAAGACCTGGGTTCCAGAGTCCATATGCTGGAGCAGAGATTCAAACCAGAGCCTCCCACATCTCAGGGGAGTACCCTAAGCACTGGGCTATTAATGGGGTCCTACCAATTCAGTCTATTTTGGTCAATTTCATGATCATAGGATTTTAAAAATCGTAAGTTTCATTATTTTAGCTATTTACTTCTGACATTTCCTGGTGTGGTATTAACAGAGATCCTCACCCAAAAAGAGTTGTGGGGTGGTGGCAGTACTGCTACCCGTACTTCTGTGCTGCTGCAGGAGGCAGTGCTGCCTTCAGACTTGCAGCTGAAGGGTGGCGGCTGCTGGCCAGGAGCGCAGCTCTGAAAGCAGAGTCGCTGCCAAGCAGCAAGGACAGCATGGTATGTTATTGCACCCTTTCTTTTGTGCTGCTGTTGGCAGCACACTGCCTTCAGAGCTGGGTGCCAGGCCAACAGCTGCTGCTCTGACCACCCAGCTCTGACTGCAGTGCAGAAGTAAGAGTGACAATACTGTAACACATCCCCAAAAATAATCTTGCAACCCAACCCCTCTGCAACTTCCTTTCGGATGAAAACTCCAAATTTGGGAAACACTGGCCTCACCATGAAATCTGTATAAAGTATAAAACAAACAGCACACAAAAGACCAGATTTCATGGTCCGTAATGTTTTTTTCATGGCCATGAATTTGGTAGGGCCCTGGCTATTAGATACATTGGGGCATCCCAAGCAGTGGTTTTATGACTCTAGCCCCTCATTTCCTTTGTTTATGAATAAAGGTGCTTTTCCACCTTCCATTTATTAACTATTCAAATTTCAGTTGAACTTGAACTGATGGTTTGGGGGGAGGGGTATTATTATTTTTTCAGAACTGGCAGGAAATAAAAAAGGAGGCAGTTATTGGCACAACTCTAGTTCCAAGAACTCCAATAGCTCCTCCATAGAGCTCTCCGCAAAAAAACTCTCAGGAGAGTTCTAACTGGGTCCAACTGCTATACCAATGCAAATGACTGATCCAAGCAGGCCCTATTTTTCTGAGGATCCTTAGGATCTAGGGCAGACGGCCACACTTGGGTCTGGCAGCCTCTTTCTTCTTCACTGTGCAACCGCCTTATGCCAGCATGAATTTTAAGACCAGAAGGGACCTTTATATTCATCACATCTGACCTCCTGACTAACACAGCGCAGACCACTAGAAACGGAAGAGTTGCTTTAACCAACAGAAGGGCACATAGCAATGAAAGAGAAATTCCTACAAAGACACATGTGTTCTCTATAAATCTGCCATTCATATCAAAACAAAGTAACTGACTCAATACTCAGTGAAACATCTTTTAAATTTAAAACAACAGAAGACGGGCAAATATCTCCCCTTCTCACTCCCAACATTTACTCATGAGTCTTATAAATTAGCTAGTGATGCTACAGAACTGTGTATAGGTCAAAACTCCATCACCCAGACTTCCCTGGACCAGCATTGTTGGGGTGACCCGGCGGCCTGAGGCCAGGAGCATTGCCAGACTAGAGGACTGCTGAGGTGGGAGTCCAGAGCGTCCCCCCTCCTGGAGCAGCAGCGAGGCCGCTGTGGGGAAAGCAGAGCCACTGTGGAGAGACTGGAGCCCCCACCAGGGGGAGAGTGGAGCCGTGGGTGGCAGTGGAGCCACGGGGTGGAGCAGAGCCCCTACCACTTTGGGGAGAGCAGAGCCACAGGTGACAGTGGAGCTGCCGGGGGGAAAATGGAGCCTCTTTCCCCATTGGCCTCCCCTACTCCAGCAAATTCCATGGTTCAGGACCAGTGAGGTCTCAAGGGTGCCAGACCAGGGAAGTTCAACCTGTACAAAACTTTGCTTACTCTTGTGATGGAGAAAAGGAAGACGCTGGTTGCATGCATAAGCAAGCAGGAACGAAGGCATGGTTACAGTGGCTGAGGTATTTATACTGGATCTAAGGCACATTGAGCTGGAAGGAATTGGATTTTTCCCTGAACTGCCAGCTTCAACTGAAAATGGTTCCGTGGCTGGGCACACCATTTTTGCAACAGTGCTGTGCAGAGGCAAAGCCAAGGAAAAAGGATACATGTTTCTGACAGGGTTAGCCTCCAATTTGCAGTCTCCTGCACTATCTAGTCCCTCCCTACTTCCCTCCTTTCCTGCCCTGCCCCTGAGTTACTGCATAAAGGGATGAAAGGGAAAGAAATGGAGCACAAGCTTCCTGCAGCCCTGTGGAAATTAGAGTGGTACCAACTGCTTGAGATTCTAGCCTTGCAGTCAGCAAATGAAAGATCAGGAGAGATCTGTGAGTTTGCAAGGGCTGCAAGATAATCAGTGACCCAAGCAGCAACTTAATTTGCCTGCACTGTAGGCTAATACCTACAAGGAGAGTCTAACAGGCACCTGAACATACATTAATATATCCTGTTATACATTACTTCAGATTTAATACGTTACAGATTTACAGAGACACACTTTGCCTAAAATAAGCAGCAGGCTGACCAGTATTCTGCATTGTTTTATCTGAGGACAGCCAAATATTTTCTATCCACCTGTTCTCTCCCTGCCTCAAGCTGAGCCACATAAAATCTTGCTAAGAAATACCCTACATGTGCAAATATATGCTGGTGAATATACACAGGAGAAGAAATGAATTCTTGAAATGTATATTGATTTGACAAAAAAAATGTAGCATGTTCCCCTTGCTCCAAAGCCTCATCAAATTAAGATCAATGATCTAATAAGCAAATAACTTTACAATTTTAAGTGGTTTTGAAGACACCCCTCCATGAAAAAAGTTCTTCTGACTTCACAAAACAGGCATTTTCTTGGCAAAGCATCAGTGGTTATTGGTTTAGAAAAGAAAAAAAATAAGAATCCTACATCAGTTTCCATAGCAGTTATTCCACTTCAAGATATGGCCTTCATCCTAATCATAAGAGTGTGAGACTGCAGAAGGCAGCATATGTCAGAGCCATTTTTCAGAAGCAAGGATAAACTGTGATGACACTAAATGGGGAGAAGGGGGTGCTGTATGATGGGGAATGGGCCAGGAACCAATGATTTCCCATTATACCCATTGGTCCCCAAACCCTTTCCCATCAACATCCGTTATCCTGTTTGAGACTTTTCAAAGATGTTGTACAAGACAAGGAAAGTGTATAAACTATAACAGGAGTGGCTGTGATATTTTCTAATCCTTTAATTTAATACTTTCCACACAAAAATTCATGCAGCACCTAAGGGTGCCATTTTCACAAGCATTCAGCCTAAACCTGCTTCCACTGAACTCAATGGGAGTTTTACCTGGCAGAGCACTTCCGAAAAAATCTCACCTTTAGTGACTTGCTCATGACTCCTAGAGTCCTGTGCTCTCACCACCTGACGGCTTAATAAATAAGTGTCAATAATAAAAGACAAGGCAAAAAATACAGGTTAATCTCAATCTGTTGCCCCTCCAGCAGACTCTACATGCCCTGTCATCCTCAAAGCAGAGTTCTATCCCATGCAGTGGTGAAAGTAACTTAAAATTTCTTACAGCTACTGTCCTATTGCAACCCAGGTTCCTGCCAGCTCTTTAAATAGCTCCCTGCTAGCTTTTGCTGCAGCTCAGCCAGCTCTTGCTGGAGCTGCATACTAGGATGCACCTGCTTAGTTTCACCTCTAATCCCATGAGGGCTGTGTTTTGGACTTGATGCCATCTTATTCCACATGCTTATTTCAAAAGCATGAGACTATTCTAGGACTTCATTTTGAAATTGAATTTCTATCAGATCTCAAAAGGTCTGGCTGGGCAACCCTATTCAAATAAATAAATGAACACTTTACTGAAGCACAGAACTCCACTTACCTTTCCTCCCTGAGTTACCCTGGCTCGATGGCTTATCAGTTACTGAACCTTAAAGGGAAACAAACAAAGACATAGTTTGTTTACAGGCAGCATGACAACACAGTCACACAAATATACTTCAATAGCCTGATCCTAGGGGATTGGTTTTTACCTGGCAAGAACTCCATCTAGGGTTCCAAGACCCCACTGTAAGAGTTCATGGCCAACACTTAAGGCAGTACAAGAGACAAATATTATGCATTAAGGCTATCAAAACAGGTCAAATTAGACAAGAGAGCTTCAGGCCTCATCTACACTACAAAGTTTTGCAAAATAAAAGTCAGGCTTCATTGACAGGACACTGGAGGCATACACACTGCAATGCCCTTCTACCAACAACACAAATCTTACTTTGCAGAAGAAACAAAACCATTTCGACAAAATGTTTTTTGCAGCAAAGTGATATCCACAAAATATCAGTGGAGACATCATGGCTCTGCAGGTGGACCCCCAGCTAACTGCGGGGCACCTCCTTTCCTTTCTCCACGCGCTACTCATGCAGCTCAACCCCACCCTCCCTCCTCTGCACACTGTGCACCGCCACTTCCAGCAACTGGATACTAGTTCAGACTGGTGGGACCAGATCATCATGGCACTGTGGAATGACCAGCAGTGGCTCCAGAGTTTCCACTTGCAGGAGGACACCTTCACAGAGCTGTGTGAGTGGCTCACCCCTACCCTCAGGCAACAGAACACCGACATGAAACCATCCATCCCCCTCCAGAACGGAGTCGCCATGCTGGACAGCTACCAATCTGTCGGGAATCAGTTTGATGTGTAGAGAACAACTGTTGGGACCGTGGTCATGCAGGTATAGGTCTCTCGTGCTATCGTCCCAGGAGGCTGGTGAACTGGGGGAACGGGGTTCCCTAGGGAAGGGGGAGGTGGAAGCCCCTTGCCTGGAAGGTTTTCAGTCCCGCCTTCACAAAGCCCTGCCAGGGGATGGAGCAAGTTGGGGTTACTCCTGGTGGGGGGGAGGAGCTCAGAAGTCTCAAGGGCCCTGGCAAACCCTGTGATTCCCTGTTTGTCTCCTTCTCCAGGTGGTGCAGGCCCTCAACACCATCCTGCTGCGCAGGATCATCATGTTGGAGGACATGCACCCCATCATCGCTAGCTTTGTCACTATGGGCTTCTCCAACTATCGAGGGGCCACTGACAGCTCCCATATCCCCATCCAGGCCCCTGACCACTAAGGCATCCAAATACATCAACCAGAAGGGGTACTTTTCTGTGGTGCTACAAGCCCTCATGGACCATTGAGGCCGCTTCACTGACATCTACAGCAGATGGTCGGGGAAGGCACACAACACCCACGTCTTCTGCAACTCCAGCCTCTTCCAGAAGGCGCGCGCACACGCACATGCACTTTTTTACCATCAGGGTCAGGGACGTGGACATGCCGATGTGCACTGTAGAGGATGCAGCCTACCCGTTGCTCCCCTGACTAATAAAGCCCTACACTGGACACCTGGACTCTACCAAGGAACATTCTGATCCCAGCCTTAGCAGGGTCCACATGGTTGTGGAGGGCACTTCCATCCAGGTAAAGGGGAGATTCCATTGCCTCCTCAACCGCCTGGATGTTGTCAAGCGGAACATCCCCCAAGTAGTGGTGGCCTGTTGTGTGCTCCACAATATTTATGAAAAAAAGGGGGAGACATTCTTGCCAGGGTGGGGGGCAGAGGCTGACTGGCTCGGCAGGGCCTTTGAGCAGCCGCGCATGGCTGCCATCCGACAGGCCCATCAGGGGCTCTGCATAAACAAGAGCCCTGAGGGAGAGTTTCACACAAGGACCACAGTGACACTCCCTCCAAGCCTCCCCACAAGGGGTCTGTGCATTGCCCCTCTTTGCCCTTCCTCCCACACCCCTCCCTTCCCCTGCACAGACAATAAACCACGCTGTTTTGGAACAATAAACTGTTTTTTTAATTGGGGTATATGTAACTGGGAAGGAACTGGGGAAAGAACCTGGGAGGGAGGGAGGGAGAGAAAAGGGAGGAAAGACTCAGGGGTGGGGCAGGGAGTGGCACCTGCCTTGAGTCAGGGGCCCTCGATGGCCATGGGTGGGAGGAGGGGAAGATGGGGGGAGGGAGACCACGCTGTTTTGGAACAATAAACTGTTTTTTTAATTGGGGTATATGTAACTGGGAAGGAACTGGGGAAAGAACCTGGGAGGGAGGGAGGGAGAGAAAAGGGAGGAAAGACTCAGGGGTGGGGCAGGGAGTGGCACCTGCCTTGAGTCAGGGGCCCTCGATGGCCATGGGTGGGAGGAGGGGAAGATGGGGGGAGGGAGAGAAAAGGGAGGAAAGACTCAGGGGTGGGGCAGGGAGTGGCACCTGCCTTGAGTCAGGGGCCCTCGATGGCCATGGGTGGGAGGAGGGGAAGATGGGGGG